AACTCCTCCTCCTCCCCCTCCCCATAGTTACATTGAAATTAATTCCATGGGTTTCTATAGCAAGAATCCCTGAGGAGCTGAGTAGCAGTAGCAAAGCATGAAGAACAGCGAGAAAGCTGGAAGCATGGAAGAGCCCTATACGCTCCTTAGAACAGAAATGAGACCACCCAACAGCAAGTTCCCAGGATCAAGGGGGTGCTGCATCCTGTCCCTTTCAGGCAGAAGCCTAAATGGAAAGAGTGAATGGAGACAAGTTTATAGTCAATCAGCAACCCCAGGTGCCTCTGAATAACAGGTATGAGGCTTTGGTTGAGGAAGGCCAATGCAACAAGGATGTGAATGATGGGCAATCTACACCAGAGGTGCCTCCACACACAGATAGGTCTACTGCCCACATCAAGACACATACATCTGCAAGGAAGGAAAGGGTTATAGTTGTATGAGACTGCCTTCTGAGAGGTCTGATATGCCGGGTAGACCCACAGCTAAGATAAGTCTGCTGTCTCCCTGGAGTTAAGGATATCATCAGGAAACTTCCTAGCTTGGCTCAGTTCTCAGACTGTTACTCATCTTCCATGTAGGTGGGGAGGAAGCTGGGACTTGTAGCCCAAGAGCAATGAAAAGAGTTCAGGGTCTTGGGATGATTGGTGAGGCAATCTGGGGTATGGGCTGTTTTATTGACTCTCCTTCCAGTCGCAGGCAGTGACAATGGAAGGTACAGAGAGATCCAATCTACATGGCTCCATGGCTGGTGTCACTGCCAGTTCTGGGTTTTTTGACAGTGTGATGGCATGCACAGTACCAGGCCTGCAGGCACCAAACGGAAGACACCCTTCTCAAAGGGGGAAGAGCATTTTTGCTCAAGAGATTGCAGGCCTAACTGATGTGGCTTTAAACTAGAAGTGAAGGAGGAGAAGGATAATATCTGTGACAAGCTGTGGGATGACATGCCAGCATTAGAGGGACAAGGTGCTAGTAAGAGTCCTCAACTCGTTGCCCTAAGTCATGCTAGGGACACTGTACAGCCAAAGCCTTTCAGAGTAAAGCCAGGGACTCCTGAAGTGGTAGAAGCCAACAGAGAAGCACTTGTGAAACCTAGGAATTAAGGGGTGTTCCTCTAAGAATGGTGACACAGCTGACAATCTGTATCAAGTGCCTCTACATAAAGACATGCAGCCTGGGCAACAATGAGGAGTTGGAGGCTACCATGCAGATGGAAAGCTACAACATAATGGCCATGACTGGTGGGACAAATCTTATGACTGAAGCATGGCTATCAAACACTACAAGCTGTTCAGAAGGCACAAGCAAGGAAGGAGAGAGAGAGGTGTTGCCCTCTAACTTAAGAAATGGCTCAAATGTGAGGAGATGTCCTTAAAGAAGAGCCAAAAGCAAGTTAAAAGCTTATGGGTAAGAATTAAGAGATGGAGGCAACAAGGGGAACCTTGTGGCTGGTGTTTATTGCAGGCCATCTCATCAAGGGGAGCCTATTGATGAATCTTCATTAATGACACAGTGGGATCCAGGGCACCATCAGTGAGTTTGCAGATGACACTAAGCTGAGTGGTGCTGTTGACATATCAGTGATGGGATGTTATCCAGAGGGACCTGGACAAGCTAGAGAAATGGGCCCAGGTGAAGCAGATGAGGCTCAACAAGGCCAAGGTCCAGCACCTGGGTAGTGGCAATTCTTGTTATCAATACAAGCTAGGGGATGATGTGATAGAGAGCAGCCCTATGGTAAGGAACTTCTGGATACTGGTGGGTGAAAAGATGGACAGGAGGAAACAATGTGCACTCACTGCCCAGAGTGCCAGTAGCATCCTGGGCTGCATCAAAAGAAGCATGGCCAGCAGGTCAAGGGAGGTGACTCTCCCCCTCTACTCCCCGTTTGTGAGATCCCTCCTGAAGTACTGTGTCCAGCTCTGGAGCCCCCAGCAAAAGATGGATGTGGACTTGTTGGAACAAATCCAGAGAAGGTCCACAAAAATAGTCACAGGGCTGGAGCACCTCTGCTAGGACGACAGGCTGAGAGAGCTGGGATCTTTCAGCCTGGAGAAGAGAAGGCTCCAGGGAGACGTTAAAGGAGCCTTCCATTATCTGAAGGGGGCCTACAGAAAAGCTGGGGAGGGACTGTTTACAAGGGTGTGTAGTGACAGGATGAGGGGCAATGGTCTTAAACTAGAGCAGGATAGACTTAGATTAGGTATTAGGAAGAAGTTATTTATGATGAGGATGGTGAAGCACTGGAACAGCTTGCCCAGAGTGGTGGTGGAGTCCCTATCCCTGGAGACACTCAAAGTCAGGCTTTATGGGGCTCTGAGCAACTTGATCTTGTTAAAAGGTCCCTTCTTACTACAGCGGGGCTTAATTAAATTACCTTCAAAGGCCCCTTCCAGCCCAATGCATTCTACGATCAGCCTGAAAAGGAACTGAACTCTAGGAAAAAATCCTATGAAACTTTAAGATGATAGCATTAAGAATAGTCACTGCTGTCTAGCCACAGAAAAGTTAAGTCCTAACACATGTCCATGCAAGCAGTTTAATTTATTTAGACACTGAAAACAAACAGCACTTTTCATATTGTGATCTTCAGAGACTAAACAGAATGAATGTTTTTTCCATTCAATTAAAAAAAAACAACAACAGCCTTAGAAGTTCAGGGTTATAGGAAGCCAAGTATTTTGAAGATCAACAAACACTCTTAAAACCCAGATCTCAAAATACAGTGGACAGACTGGCCCTATAGTCTCAATTAAGTCAAGGATACTCTGTTGGTCTGCTCAGCTCCTTAGACTACAGCCTGAGTTTCCACACTCTTCTAGTTCTTCTGTTAAGTATTTGTGTATGGATACTAATCCTCATGGAACTTATTCCAGGAACTCATTTCACAGGCAGAGAGAGCTCCATTGATCAGCAGGGGCATATGATACAAGAATGTGAAGTTTTTTGTTCCCTCAAAAGCTTGCCTATTGAAAACAAGAATTACAGTACTTAACTTCTAATACCTGAAACTTTTCAGATCCTAGCTTGTATTTTTGCAGTGGGTTACTTTATTTCTAACATTCTAATGTAAAGCACCTGACATCAGTTCCATTGGCAGAGTTCACTGACAGGATGCTGTTAAGAAAAACTTCTACTCAAAATAAAGTGAACAACAATAAAATTCTATTGAAGGTTACTTCCCCCATGAAAACAAGCATACTGCTTATCTTCAGATGGTATCCTGGGACTCATAATTTTTATGTACATTTTACATACCAATCATAGTTTCCTTTTCTTTACAAACCATACTCTTCACAATTCAGTATTAAGATTCTTTTTCTAGTTAACAACCGGAACTTTATTTTAGGAATTCAGCATTCTGTTGATAACACCTACCTTCAAAGGCTTAACAGCTACGGCCAAAAACCCTCTATTGGATTTTATGGCTATCTGTTGAAAAGCCATTGTGTATACAATCACTCCATTGCACCTAAAGTCTTGTAAGTCTGGTTTAACCCACATGTGAAATCAACCAGTCTGTTTTCTTCATCCATCACCAAAATCATACCAAGTTTTACTTAAAAAAAGGACGATGTGAAGTTATATATTGCTTAGTTTAACTTCTGCAAGCTAACTGTCTCGTTTCAAAAACACCTGGCTCGGTGTCAGTCTCATTTCTGAGAGAGGCTTGCTAGAAAAATAAAGACCTTATCCTTCCAGGAGTACAAAATGCAACATTAGCTCAAAAATAATAAATAACAATAATAAAGTATATTAGCCTAACAAAAGTATATTCTTTAGATTAACTTCAGGTATATTTTGACAAAGTGAAAACCAATGCAGTTACCTACAAACCATTCTCTTCTTACATACGCTGTCATCTTCATTCCTTCAAAAGTTTCCATTTTAACAGGAAAAGTTTAAAGAACATCCTTAACTGTGTTAGAGAAACACTATTAACCAAAAGCAAATTCCAGTCTTTGGAGGAAAAACCGAAATGACCAGACATAGAATTATTCCAATATAATCTAGAAAAAATAATGTACTTCTGGTGTTACACTGCTGATAAAATAGCAAAATACAAGAAACATCTTTTTTATTCAAAACTACTGAGAAAAACTAAGTTATTTTGAGAAAGAGGGCATTATAAAAGATTTGAAAAAAACACATGCAATCTTACATGTTTCCATAAGTTTTAAGAATCAAAGTTCTTAATAATACATTCTTTACATTTTATATATCTAATATGTATAGATATATGTATCTGTATCACTGTTCATCCATTCTTCCAAGTCGCCGCCGCCGCCTGCAGAAAGCCTTCAAGTCCCATTTGTTTGCCTCCAACATATAAGGTCCATTGTAGACAAACAACACTGTCATCTTGTCATTGTAAGTGAGATTCTGCAGGAGCTGGTGAGAAAGAAAAAGTGGTCAAAATAGCTGGAAGATATGCTTCCCATTAGCTAAAAAAGGTGAAGGAGCACTGCGTAAAGCCTTTAAGCTCAAAAGGTCAATATAGTAGGATGTTAGCCTTTCTGACAGATGTCTATTTGGTTCTAGAAAACCCCAGAGACCCCTCTCATTCTTCAGGGAATTTCCATGCTTTACTATTCTTACTGGAAGAGTACCTAGTTTATAGATAATAACTAGAGGAAGTTACTTATAGTTAAATAAAGATGTCATTTATAGTAAATAGAAGTATATTCTAGAAGAATCTTCATATCTAATCCATGCCTTCTTTCTTTCTGCAAATGACGTAATTATTTTTTCTGCCATATCCACAACGGGCTGAGAATATTGATTGTTTTTTCTTTTTTTGCCAGGGCAGGAGGTAGAGTTACTTGGGCACATTTATTATGTTCCTCCTCAGTCTCAGACTCCTCCAAGCTAAACAATTTTCATTAGTGGAAACTCAAAACGTTCAAAACTTCTGGAAAGTTGCACTGCTGTCTTCTGGAGTTAACTCCAGCCTCTGTACTACTTTTCTGAAGTGTAACAGCCAAAGCTTGGACACTTACTGTAGTCCAAACCCAGTCAGGCACAAGCCCAGCAGACTGTCAGGGGTCATGCAGGTACCTTTACTCAGGATGACTTTTTAGCAATTTACTCTCAACAGATTCTCAACCTGCCATCCACAGTACCCTTCTCTCTTCCCAGCCATCTAGGCATTTATGCCTTAGACTTGATGCAATTCCTGATTTTTCCCACTTAAATACCAAGTCCCATGCTTGTGCCTGCTGAATGCATCCTGTTTTCAAATAAAGTCACCTAATGTAAGATTGTTATGTATTCTAATTTTGCTCTACAGCAAAGAAGCATTCAATCCCAACATGGTAATTTGCATGTTTAATAAATGTAATTTGTTTCAGCACAGATTGATACTAAAAATACTGATTTTCAAACCCAGGACTCACTTCTAATGATCACATTCAGTTCATAATCTCATTCTGATAGTGAATCACAGCTATCCAGAATACAATTTCCCTAATCAACTCTACTGCAAATTAACCTATACCCCTTCCCCTCTGTAGCTTGCTTAAATACAGCTGCTTAAAAATAAAGCTGGGTAAAATGTCAACATACTGAAAAAAATATGGTATGAGTTTTTCCTCTATCCACTAGATACATATACCCAGAATTTAGCTAAGAAGGACAATTTGGTGTAGTTTCTAGTCAGTGATTACATACTTGCTTTCTAGTAAGTGATGACATATAGGCAAAGGCTCAGGAACTAAAGGTAAGCCTCTGGAAGAGCAGATTCTGGCTCTCTCCTGAGCCTACTCTGTGCAGCCTTTTAGCTCCCCTTGGGTGCAGCCCACTGCTATCTCAGTAATGTTCTTCGTGGTAGGCCATTACAATTTGACCACTTTAACTGGAGATCACAGAATCATAGAATCGCCTACTTGCAGTTCAGAGATACGTGTGTGTGCGTAGAGAGAAAGACAGAAATCCCTTCAGCTACTTCACAATGCCACCTCATTCTACTGAATAGTGGTGCAATACTTTCCTTCAACTTCCTCTTGCTATAATGCTGAATGAACTTTTTTTTTAAGCTTCTGAAATTTCTTACCTTCTGCCTTATTTTTGTTCTGACCTCTCTGTTTAGTTCTGCACACCCAATTTCCCCCCTTCTCTATTATTAATTTACCAATGAGCACCATTTTTAAAACAGAGTCTGAACCCTAGACAGTCATACTCAACAGTTCCTTATATGTGGGAAGTTTTGTATTTAGTGGAGGTATCTCTAGCCTTTCAATATCCAAACCACTCTTATTTCTCAAAGTAGGAGAAACCACAGAAAAGCAGATCCAATAAGGTGAAAAATGGGGATAGATAACAGCCAGAACAAGAAAGAAGTAATGTGGACAGGAAATTACCGAACGGTGAGGAGGTCAGTATCATGCAGGATCAGAATTATAAAACAAGCATCACCTTCCTACAACATTCAGTCAAGTAAATGCTATGGGTGGCTTTTCTCAAGTCCTTCAACTGCTAGTTAAAAGAGAACAGCAGCACACACTAGCCAGGTTTTCTACAGTGAAGTATGGGATGCAGAAGGACTGTTATGTTAATAAAAAGCATACAGCCCATTACTGAATGCTTGCTTCCTTGGCATGTAAGTAACCTTCACTGGATCAATCTGTCTTGGATCAAACTGAACATAACATTAGCCTCTGTTAAAAGTGCAGGTCAATAGCCACCCTACTTACTAGTCACTTCAAGCCATCACCACACTATCCAGTAAGTAAATTATCTTTTTTTTTTTTTCATTTTAATAGAAAAGTACAATTAAGCACCGATCATTCTTAACTGAAAAGCCCCATTCTCCGTGGCGCACAGCACTGACCCTTTCAGTGCTTGTAAATCTCAGATTAGTACTTGAATAGTTTTACTCCATTAATGTGGGACTCCTCTAGTTTTTCCGATGTCAGCAGCAGTAGCTTGTTCCTGTATCATCACCCGGCCTGTCTGCAAGTTGGTCTCTTGAGACAATCCAATTCTGTGAGAGCTAGAGGCATTAAGTTTGACAGTTTTGTTACACAGCACCCCTATCCATTGGTGGTTAACTTGTTATCTTTCCACTGAGGCCAGATGACCAGTGGTGTAATTTGTCTGAATTCCTGCCAGGACTGTCCATAAAATAGACAAACTGTCCCACAGTTATCCTTATAATATTCAGTTTTTAGGTCAGAGATAAACACTGTATAACTTCCAGGGATATTATCACACAAAATTCAACTCTCCTACACATTAAACTTTCAATTTCTTTTTCCACCACACACCTTTGGTGTAACAAAGAAGTACTGGGATGTGTTTTCTTTACAAGCAGTTTCCACAACCATTTCAAAAACTCTTCTCTCATTCACTGGATCCATTCCCTAAAAGAAAAAAAAAAAAAAGTCTGTTCTCTCCACTATGTCATAAAGTGTCTGTACAGTAGGAGGTTACATATTGCACTATTGATCCTCACCTGGTTTATTTCATCTACAACCCTGAAAGGACATCTGTTGAGTTCCTGTAGAGCCATCAGGTACAACATAGTGGAAACACTTTTCTCACCTCCACTCTGATGATATGGAGTCAATTCATGAAGTTCAGTGCTACTGTGGAATTTTACTCTAATGCGAATCCCGTACTTGTCATACTCCTCCTATAAAAGGCAGTAGCTGTTAAACTTAAGTTTCCCTGTACAACAGCTTATGTGATAATGATATGCAAATTTAAGGAAATTTATGTCAAATGTTCTTCAGAGGTCTACTCAGGTTCAAGTTAATATCAATATATTAATTGTTTCATATATTTTCCTTACTTATGATCTAGTCTTAAGACAGAGAATTCTCAATACCACTCCCTCCATGTAGCAACAATCTGAATCCCTGATAAGAAAGACTTCATACACATAAAGAACATCCAGAGGAAAAAAAATTATTGGCTAGAAAAAGGAGAAAGCAACACACCTATAAATTTTGTCAAAAAAAACACATTAGGGTACATAATGCTATCAGCCTGAACTGCAGAGTGATGGAGGTGTGTGTGTAAGTAAAGATTCCACCTGAACCTCTTTAAGTGCAAGCAGTCTAATGAAATCCTTCACTTCTCCTCCACTAGCAGACTGAGATACAAAGCCGCTACAAAATCTACCATGAGAGCAATCTCAGTGCACATGCAAGCAAATACATTCACGATTCAAGGAAAAAAAGAAATATTTGGTACTTGCTAATATAATAATAATAATAATCTGAAGTTCAGATAAGCTTAGTGCAGGAATGGGAATGCAATCCCCAGTGCAGAGAGCCCACACTGACTGCTTACCATTTGGTCCATATAAAACACAATCTTTATATGCACCTATCAAGTCAATGAGAGCTCCTGCGAAGATTCAGAAGTTTCAGGATTATGAGTTCCAAGAGGTCTACCGTAGTCCCTGAGGAAGTTTGAATCCTGCACTTGGAAGTCACACTTGACTCACATTTTTCTGATAACACAGTTGTAATGCTCAGAGTAGAATAAGTGAGTGGAGGTGATTTCTGATAATTACTCAGAATACTTCTAGATTTAGAAAGGACACTTGCACCAAAGAGACAATGAGAAGCCTATCCCTTAGCAGCTGGCATATACCACTTTGGTTCAGGTTGTCACATACCACAGTCATTCAATGACGTATGAACCTGGGTGACCTGGCAGAACATAAAATGGGCAGAACCCATTTTAGGGCTGGCTTTATAGTGCACAACAAGGTCTACAAGACAAGATGAAGTAAATAAGCCATACCATCCTTCAAGTCTTAAAAGTGCCTTAAGGCACTTCAAGTCAATAGGAAAAATTTTCAGCTTTTTTGCTACCTTCAGGTCTTGCTTTGGGATGAGTAATGTACATACCTGATAGCATCTAACATAAAAGAGATCTATCAAATCATCTCAGATCTGCTAACCTGCCTAATCAGAAGAAAAAGCCATCTTTTGCTGTCGCTGGTGTTTTACTACACTGGCAGGCAGACACATATCCTCAGGTCTAGAAAGTGTAAAGTCTTGGCCTCCTCTCCCTGGTGACCAGCAACAGAACAAGAGGAAATGGGGTCAAGCTGTGCCAGGGGAGGTTCAGGCTGGGTATTAGGAAAAATTTCTTCACAGAGGAGTGGTGAGGCATTGGAACAGGCTGCCCAGGGAGATGGTGGAGGCTCTGTCCCTGGAGATGTTAGAAAAAGGGGTAGACATGGTGTTTCTTAGGATGGTTTCATGGTTAGGGGTTGTAGGGTGGATGGTTGGACTGGATGATCATGAAGGTCTTTTCCAACCTTGACGATTCTATGATTTACTTTCATGTACTTGCAACAGAACTACTAGCAAACTGATTTTGGTTACCTTTTCATTCTCCCCTACTATGGAAGAAATTTCGTCTTTGGCATTTAATGCAGCTTATCAGAAGAGTAATAAGCTTCCTGGATTTGCAGATTGCATTTTGATAACCATGCCCAATAATCAGAAGCCTGAGAAGGAGAAGCATGGGGCATGCTTTCAAAACAAATGCTGCTGACCTTTTGAGAACTGCTATTTTGTTAAGGGGAACTAATAAGACATGCAGTGAAGATAACAGCACCATAGCTTAATCAACTTTCTCCATTTTATGATTGTCAGGATCAATCTCAAGCACTCCACAGTTTGGCTTGCTAATGACCAGAACACTTAGTATAGTGTTGGCATTTTATCTTTAAGTTCACAATTTAGCTCATGTTTCTTCTCTAACAGATACTTGCAAAGCTTTTGCTATATTCTTTGGAAAGGGACAGGGCTGTGGGACATCAAGAACACAACAACTCCATGTAAGAAGAAACAAAACCCAAGACCTAAGACCTCTAGGCCCACTGTACTTTCAGATGCATGGCACAGACTGAAACTACGTCCAGAGTGACAAAGATTTGTCCTCTGGCACAGTTACAATGGTATCAGTAAGTCAGGCTTTCATTGTCAGACTCTGGGAACGCCAGTTCATACAACTGACAGATATTCCATGACCTGTCATGAGTAATGTTCAAAACTACCTGTAGGAAGGTGAGGGTTATTGCTGCTAGCACTGCTAGCACTCTGAATTCTGGTTACCAAGTGCTCCCAAGGAAAGTCAGAGAAGTAGCTACTACCATGAAGGACATCATTAGATTTCCAAGTTAGCCAGGGCAGGCTAATAGAAGCTTGAACTTCAGTGCCACAGGAATATTTCTAACAAAGATAATTCTGCCTCAAGCATCTCTCCTTTGATATTTACAAGCCAGGGCAAAGAGTCTCCCACAGAGAAGGGTAAGGAATCCAAGCTCTAGAACAGATTACCCACCCCTCTGTATTACAAGGTGTTGATTCCTTAATGAAAAAGTTTTAGTCATTGGCTCAGTAACGCCAGCTAACTTCTTAAACTATTTGTGACATCATTGCAAGAGAAAAGAAAGACCTTCCAAAGATGATATTCAGAAAGACAGTCCAGACTCTGCTTTTAAACTGTTCTACTGTTTTGATGTGTACTCTCTCCCAGCTTATTCTTACGTAATTTTAGTATTTGTGTAGTATAGGACTGATTGTGTAGCTAATTATAAAAACAACTGAAAAGTCCACAGCTTAATGTCCTGCTCTTTCATAATACTAGTTACTATGTAAACATTTTAATGAAGTTCCTATAAAGTGCCTTGTCAATCACTGTTCTGCCCCCAATAATTACCACTTCTACAACAAAAAAATTTTAAGTGTCAAATTTCAGTGTTGTGGAGTCTACACATTATATGTGAGTCTTAAAATCATCATTACAAAGATCAATTTAAAACAAAATACCCGATTTTTCTTCACTGCACTGATTATTTCTCCCCACAGCTCTCCTGATGCTTTAAACTCTTCAAAGGTAAACCCTGTCTATAAATTTACAGAGGGCATAACAGGCTGAAACAAATGATTGCTACTTCCAAAACAGATTAAATAATAGGAGACTTGAATGGAAACTAAATGCAGAACCACATCAATACAACACTTAATAATAGCAGATTTAGCCATTAAATGGTAACAGAATAGCATGCATTAGCTAGAAATGTAAAATTAAATCACTAACTTAACAAATCTGAGTTACAACTAAAGTAAACGCAATGCTTCTAACCAGGCTCTGTAAGTTGAAAGAAGTTTCCTAAAGCTGAAGGCCTACGCACCTGGACAAAGGCTCATTTTCTTTCAACCAGACTGCTAAGCCAGTTCTAGCACAGAAGTTAGTTAAATCAGGAAAATGTATTTTCTATTTTTTTTTAAAGAAAATATTTCCTATAATCCAAATGACAACTTACATTTTTTCTCCAGCAATACAAAAGCAAAACATTACGCATGAAAATATGAATATTCTTCCATACAAAAAATTAATCATACCTCATTTTCCACATGAAGATCAACTTCACCAACACACTGCATAGAACTAAAGAAGTTACTGAACTTCTCGTTAATTTGTTCAATCAGCTTTTTCAAGGGGTTTAACCACTTTTCTTTAACCTAGAAGTAGACATATCCATGTAAAACTATTTTTAATAACTGAACTTCCTTTAGAGATAGCATTTAAATTAAAAAGTATCGTAATTACAGAAGCTAACACCTCAGTTTGCACTCAAGACAACTTGGAATGTTACCTTTTATTTCTGTACATACAATTAATTCTAATAAAGACATGCTGATAGGGAAGTGATAATTTCAGCTATTACCTGTGCAATGTTTTGTTTATATTTATCCAATTCATTTTTCTTTTCCGCTAGATGTTCTGTCAGCACCTCTATTTCTTGTGTTTGCTTATTGTATTCTTCAACAACCTGCCAGAATAAAAAAACCCAACACAACAAGCATCAACAAAATGTTTAACATTTCTAATCTGGGCTGTAAAAATACCACACTGCACTGATTCTGCTCAAACACAATTACATGCATTATGGCACTGTACACTCAACAAGGTATGTTTCTAGCTTTAAAGCAAGGAAACTGTAAAAGCTTTGCTTATTTCAGGTTACTGCAAGGTTTTTTTTTCAAATTTTTTTTTAAAAGGTACCGAACACACTGTTCTTTTTGAAGAATCTACTTAAAATTCTAATAGATGCACAATCTGGCATTTACAGTACATTGTTCCTGCTGTATAGTTTATTATACCAAAAGATCGAGCGCAGAGTGGGAAGCGAGTACAATGCAGATGGAGGGGGAGGGTAGAGGGAAACCAGGGAACATACTGAAGCATTCAGGCCTGTGAAACAGGAGGCCCTGGTCTTCTCTTCATTCAGAAAAGCATCAATTTCCTCCAGTGTGTTTGGAAGAGCCTGAAAAGCCTACAAGAGAAAGGATGTATGTGTTACACAGCAATGCTAATGAAGGACTCCAGTTTACCAAAAAAACCAAAACATAAATAATAAAATATTGTACTACTTTTATTTAGGATGTCACATATTCAACATTTAACATGGTAAGATCCCTCACAGAGAAAGAAGGCCAGAAGTGCTACAATGTAACAAAGACACAATGAATTGTTCCTTAATTGCATACACTGTGCAGGTACAGATGCTAACCAGCTTGGTATAATCCAGGGGCTATGTTAGTTAAGACATGCAGATACTTCTATGGGTTAGGAACACCACCAGGTAAGTAGGCAGGTCCAGACTTCAGTTCTTCACATGTTGCCTCAATAGAGTAAGAAGCTAGAAAAATATGCCATTACTCATATTTCTGATTATTTCTATGAACATAAACCTTTGGATTTTAATTGAAATTTCAGATCACATTTTCTTTCCCCTGTGCACAGAACAAAGTGATTTTGAGAGGGCATCCCTTGCACTATTTAAAAGTGCTTTACAATGAGTCAACACTAAGGGAAGCACACATAGCTTTTTACTGGTAGCATTCTAATATAAAATATATAACATTGTCTGCTGGAGAAGCTAGAATAATCCAAAATTTAAGATATACGTGAAGATTAATTTTCTTTCATACATACAGTTTGAAATTCTTTTGGAAGATGTTCATCTGGACCCAGTCTGCAGACCTGTCGAGCTTTTTTCAGCAGCTCCTTGCAGTTCTCTGTAAGAATTCGCTTCCTATCATCCAGTTCACGAAACTGTTGCTGTTAGAAAAGATATTAAAGATACTAAAATACACTTTTTAAAATATCACAAATTTCCAGAGGTGACACTAGCACAGTGGCAACAAACAACATCCAAATCAGAAAATGTAAATGAAATCAGACTACTTGAAGACTGAGAATCTCTGTTTCAACACATAGAAGCCATTCTGCCTCTCTGCCTGAAGTCAACAGATGCTAAGCTAAACTGGTCAAAAGCAGATTCATGTAATAAAGTTAAATTTATTTCCTCTCAACTGGATGAGTGTATGTAGATTCAGTGTGTCTCAAAACAAACTATTTTATTGGAAACCCCTATTACCGTGAGCCTTACCACAGAATCAGGGAATGTGCGGGGTTGGAAGGGGCTTTTAAAGATCATCTAGTCCAGTCCCCTTGCAGTGAGCAGGGACCTTCATGAGATGAGGCTGCTCAGAACCTTGTCAAGTCTGACCATGAATGTCTCCAGGGATGGGGACTCCCACCACCACTCTAGGCAAGATGTTCCAGTGCTTCACCACCTCATCATAAATAACTTCTTCCTGATACCTAATCTAAACCTACCCTGCTCTAGTTTAAGACCATTGCTCCTTATCCTGTCACTACACACCCTTGTAAACAGTCCCTCCCCAGCTTTTCTGTAGGCCCTCTTCAGATAATGGAAGGCTCCTTTAACGTCTCCCTGGAGCCTTCTCTTCTCCAGGCTGAAAGATCCCAGCTCTCTCAGCCTGTCGTCCTAGCAGAGGTGCTCCAAGCCCTGTGACTATTTTTGTGGACCTTCTCTGGATTTGTTCCAACAAGTCCACGTCCATCTTGTGTTGGGGGCTCCAGAGCTGGACACAGTACTTCAGGAGGGATCTCACAAAAGGGGAATAGAGTGGGAGAATCACCTCCCTTGACCTGCTGACCATGCTTCTTTTGATGCAGCCCAGGATGCTACTGGCCCTCTGGGCACAAAAATCTAACTCAAAATCACATGCACAGTGTTTTGCTTCAGAACTTTCTCCTGATACTTCACGAAGTTAGTTAGTTGTGTCCCTATATTTGGGAGAGCCTTATCTTGACAATCCTTATTGTTGTATTTGTATTGTTTAGTAAAATATGGGAGCTCTTGGTGGCAAAAAAATTTCAAAGTGTTCATTTCATTAATCATTATTTACTAAATACAACAGAAAAAGTGTAACAGATATGACCACGCACGATCATCAATGGAGTTCCTTCACACATTCAAGAATTAGGGCTGATGCTCTCTACAGCATCTATTAGCCCAAATGTCCTGTTTTTCCTCCCCTCAACCATGCCAAAGTAATTTCTGAATCATCTGAAGTGGGGAATCTCAGCTCTCAAAAAAAAAAAAAGCCACTAAAGCACCCACTTGAAACCCTGCAGAGCTGCATGAAACAAGATTTAAAGCTGATCTGTGGACTCTGAAAAAATGAAATAGACTCAACATTTAACATGCCTGACCCAAGCCTAAGGCAACTAAAATCCTTCAGGGTGTGAAAAAGAATATGTGTTCAGCCAGAGGAAAATCTCAGCATTCAACAGGAAGGCTGAGAAGCAGCAGACATTTTATGTGGCTATGAAGCACATGCTAGAATAAATGCACTGACAGTTCCAACAACAAGGTAACCCTCAATTTTCATTCAGCTCTGCCAGTTGACTGTCATGGCCACATGCAAAATAGAAGTTAGATAAATATAAATAAATAAAAATACATAATTTTTTATTCCTTCTCCCTTATTTATATTCCAAAGTGCATGGGAATGTTAAGGTTCCTGCTG